ATATATATATATATATATATATATATATATATATATACATATATATACATATACTTATATACGTATACATATACAGGTCCTTCTCAAAAAATTAGCATATTGTGATAAAGGTAATTATTTTATTATTTATTATTTTCAATTTACATATGCAGATACCGTTTTGTCAGCTGTGCTGTAGATTTACAGAAATGTAATTGTATACAGGGCCAGGGAAACATCAGGGCATCCATGATCAAAATGTTTGCTTTTATATTGTGTAGCAATAACAGATGACCTGTTATAGAAAATGTCAGTTTGTTCTTATGTTTCTACTTATTATATAAATATTTTTTGCATGCATGTTCTGTCGATCTCCCTCTACAGATTCTCAGTGATTTTCAAGTTCAAGTTGTGTTTATTTGTCATATGCAAGGTTAACAGTTCAATCAAATATTCAGGATGAGAAGAACTGATTTGATTTGCTAAAACACAAAGAACAAAAAAAAAAAAAAAGAAATACTAAAAGCATGCAATAAGGGTACAAAATAAAGTACCAAAAAGTGAAAAAGCTAATTATAATATTTGTAAGGTCCTAAAGAGAGATAGAAAACAACAATATGGTAGAAATATAAAGGTGCAGCAGGATGAATTTGCATGAATAAGTATTTCAAAGTAATAATAGCTAAAATGCAAGTGATACATATTGCACATCAACATAAACTGCACAGGTTGTGTGACAGGTTATTGCACATGCAGTGACACTGAGATTGAATTATGATGGTAAGGTAGATACATAGATACTGTATCATACATGATACAGCCACATAGTGCAGCAGTAATAAACATATTAGCTGCCTGTCACAGCTAATATTAGTCATTTTAGTTGTCACAGATGTGGCTTGGTGCAACATTATTGCCAGTTGTTCAGCGTTATTTATCAAGAGTTCAGTAATCTGACAGCTTGTGGGTAACAGCTGTCATTTAACAGGGGGAGTGGTGGCGCAGAGGTTAGAGAGGTGGGCTTGTGATCCGAAGATCGCCGGTTCACGCCCCGGCCCCGACAACATCAAAATTGTGGGTGGGGTAGGTGAAACACACACACTTGCCCCCACCCTCATTCGCCCCACTCTGGGCCCATGAGCAAGGCCCTTAACCCCCACCATGTGCTCCCTAAAACAGGTCTCTCTTGAAAATGAGTTCTCGTGGCTCAATGAGACTAACCTGGATAAATAAAGGCTAAATGAAAAAATGAAAAAAAAAAAATTTAGTGTGTTTGTACACAATAACAGACTCCTGTATCGTCTGCTTGAGGGAAGTAGACAGAAGAGTCCTTGTGCTGGGTGGGTGTGGTCCTTAATGAAGCTGTGTGCTTTACGCGGACATCGGCTGTGGTAGATGTCCTGGATGGTGTAGAGACTGCTACCAGTGATGCCC